TCATTTTTAAGGAACTAAATCTTTGGGTTTAATTTGTATACCTGAGCACATTTTGATGGGAATATAACATCACTACATATTTTCCTTATGTAGACATGTGAAAAGTACTACATACTTTGTAGTAACTAACCCTTCCTCCCCTCCCCAAATTGCTGGTTCCCAGACACTTTCAAGTATGTGCATATTCATATCCAGACACACATGTGCATACATTCACAGCACACAGCACATGTGTGTGAGCCCACGTACATCTATTTCCTGTTGTACCCTGACTTACCCCAATTGTGGAGGATTATGCCAGTTTATACTATGCTCTTACATGGGTTTGCCTGAGGGAAGAGGTGGTAACTTTGACTCAGCTTGTCATTTTCTATCTGCTTCTCATTTCCATGTTGCTGAGATGATCATTTCAAGAGCAATGCTAGTATCATCTCCAAAAACAGTTTTGAGAAATTCATTTTTACTTAAGTTACCTTAAAGGATTAGAAAACAATTTCATAATTTTTTTTTTCATAAAAATGAAGAAATATCAATGTTTATTTTCTTACTCTGTTAAACTTAGGATCCCAATTAGTTTTTTCTGACAATTAACTAGTGACCCTGAGCAACATTATTTAACCTTTAGTGCCTTGGTTTGTTTATGTATAATGAACTAGACAGATTTATTTTCGAGTTTTAGTCTTTTTATATGCAGTGATTTTATTATGATTTTAAAGTCTTTATTATTATTATGTCTTTGAAATAAATTTGGCATGTGAAAAATTCTATTTATGCAAGAATTCATTTTGGGGATGGCTATTCATTTTAGTGGAAAACTCATCTCTTTCTAAAGAGATTGACTAATTGATTAAATAATCATTCCTTCAAATTGGTTCAGCAATTACAGAAAAAATGTGGAGCTTCCTCAAAAAATTATAAATAGACCTACCATATGATCCAGCAGTCCCACTCCTGGATAATTATCCAAAGGAAGTGAAAACAGAATCAAAGAAATGTGTTCACTGCCATGTTTATTGTAGCATTATTCATAATAACCAAGATATGGAAACAACCTCTGTGTCTGTCAGTAGATGAATGGAAAAGGAACATTTGAGGTAAATACACACACACACACACACACACACACACATACATGCATAAATCTAAACATATACAGTGGAATATTATTTAGCTCTGCGTAAGAAGGGAATCCTTCCATTTGTGACAACATGAATGGACCTTGAGGGCATTATGCCAAGTCAGATAAAGACAAGTATATGATAACATTTATTTGTAGATTCTAAACAAGCTGAACTCATAAAATAAAAACGGAGAGTAGAAGGATGCGTACCAGGGGAAGGAGGGTGGGGGAAATAGGGAAATACTGTGTAAGTACAGCTCACAACCTGTTGATAAATAAGTCCTGGGATCAAATACTCAGCAAGGGCAGTAATGTATATACACTTCAGAGTTGCTTAGAGACTAGATCTTAAGTGTTCCTTCCCCCAAAACAAAAAGAATCATGCGACATGTTAGTGATATTAGCTCACACTAAAGTGAAAATCTTACTATGTAGAGTATCAGATCAGCACATTGTCTACCTTAAACTTACACAGTGTTGTATGGTCATTTATCTCAATAAAAACAAATAAAAAATAATTATTCTCCTATATATTGGATATACATAGTTGATTATCATAATGGTATACACTTCAAATATTCTTAAAATTTTATGTATCAAGAAAGCTGAAATTTTTAAAGACAGTAATCATTTCTCTTGTGCCTTATACTCTTAAAAAATCAGTAGACCACTTTTGGATTACCTCCATATCTCCATATTTAAGTCAAGATGTGCCTCCAGTGGCTTGCTTTTTGCTTACAAATTTGACATTTCTCTTGTAAACTTTTCAGATTTGCTTTTAGAAAATTTTTTAAAAGGTATAACATTTGTACACAGTTTGCTGTATCTCAGATGGAAGAACTATTTAAACCTTTTGATTCCCAAACATGTACATTAAAAATATACATTTAACCTGTGCAATGCATATTTTTTTGCTTATACTCTTTCTGGCCTTAGGAAGGATTGGGGATTAAAAAAATAGTGATTTTTGTATTTGATAATGTAATAAGGTTTATTTAACTTTTCTTTTGTACTTTGAAAGTTTTTTTCCTTCAATTTTACTTTTTTGTTCTGGCATTTACCTATCTTTTTATTTCAGTAATAATAGTGATTGCCTTTGAGTTACATATCAGTGAAATCTCACTTGTTGGTTAGAATTTTCAGAACAAATATCAGGAATAGTAAAGCTCAGTATTACTTGCTTTTCCTAATTATGTAATTTTTGTGCATACTTTGGCAAATGTAATTATTGGTTGACTCTATAAATTTAAAATACAGTAGTTATTTGACTTAACTTTTCGTTTATAAAGTTCTTAGAGTTAGCTTTCATTGTAATTTGCAGTTTTGAGAAAAGTCTTAGACTACAGTAGTTTTTATTGTTATATTAAGCCTTGTACAAAATAATATAGTTATGTTGAAGACTAGATGTGTATAGTAAAACCAAACAAATCTATATTACATATGCGGGAAGTCTGGTTTCAGTTATAGGCACGAAAGACTGTTTTGTGAATTATGTGTGTATCTTTTAAGTTAGAAGTGTTACCTTTTTGACAATACCTTTTTGACAATAGGTCTTAATGACTATAAGGACTATTTCTAAGTAGCCTATGAAAATATCAGTAATGGTGTCAATATATATTATAGTTGTGTTGTATGACATGGTTCTTCTAAACTTCTTGAAAATAGTTACTTCTTATAACTTGGTAAAGCTTCCCCTTCCATCAGTCATTTGACTAATTTCTCATTTTTAAAGATAAAGTATATTTTGTATAAAGTATATTTTGTAGGTATAGTTCATTTTGCCCCTTTAGCCAGTAATCAGTGATTACTCATTGGTAATATCCCCTTTGATAAAGTCTCACTGTATTTATACTAAGTTTTGCTGAGTAATAATTTGTTTATTATCATAACTTTATGTTAAGCATTTCTTGCTAAGTCTGTCTTCCTGATAACCAGTGATTAGTCTATATTGTTGATAATAAAGAGGCAGTGGCATTGTTACAGACAAGTTAGAATGTGGCTCTAACCTACTTTAGTGATAGAAATACTGTTTTCTAGTTTTTTAGCTTGCTTCCTGAATGACCTACTTTTTTCAGTGGATATCATAGTTTTTATTTCTCATGTTATGGCTGTAAGATAGTTCTGTTTCTTATAACTTAACTGTTTATAATAAGCTTCTGTAGTGAGCCAAGATGATGAAATCATTTAACATTTTTATTATATAAAGTTTAAACATAATTTTCAGCATAATTGTAAGGTTATTTATGCATATATAGCACACTACAGAATTTCATTCAGCTTACATTCATTTAAGGCAGTGGTGCTATGTTTCAGAGTGAAGGAAATACCTATTTTAAAATACCTATTTTAAAAAATAATACTACTCTTATGATAACAAATGTAATTTTTTTATAATAAGATAAAGTAATTTTTTTGGTTACATTTGTTTTATCATCATGCTATTTATAAAATTTGTCTTGTAGACTTAGAAGAGTGGGTAGCTGGAGAATAGAGAAAGAATCAGAATATATGTTGTAAAACATAAATATCGCCTTTATAGCATTGACCCTTCCATAATAACTTATCTGTATAAATTAAGGCTCAGATACAAAAGTGGGTCCTTCCTTGCAGTGTTTCCTTCTGGATCATGTAAAGAGGTGTTTAGGAAGTGGTGCTATGATGTCTGCTCTTGAGAAGCTTGCCATTTAAAATAATATACTTGAATGAACCTTCCTTATTCCAAGATTTTATAAGATCTTAGCTTATGGGTTCAGGAAGGTGCTATGTATCAGGTTATTGTATTTGTATAGTAAAGTTTGAAGAGAAGAGTTAGGAAACATTTTTCTGAGCCCATTTCTAGAAGCTAATTTACAGCAGTTCTTTGTAACAGTCAGGCTCAGGTTATGACCTGTTTTTATTTTATTTTTTCCATTTATTTTTATTTGTTGGAGGCTAATTACTTTACAGTATTATAGTGGGTTTTGCCATACATTGACGTGAATCAGTCATGGATTTACATGTGTTCCCCATCCCGATCCCCCCTCCCGCCTCCCTCTCCATCCCATCCCTCTGGGTCTTCCCAGTGCACCAGCCCTGAGCACCCATCTCATGCATCCAACCTGGGCTGGTGATCTGTTTCACCCTTGATAGTATACTTGTTTCAATGCTATTCTCTCAGATCATCCCACCCTCGCCTTCTCCCGCAGAGTCCTCTTAAACTGTTGGTGGGAATGCAAACTAGTACAGCCACTATGGAGAACAGTGTGGAGATCCCTTAAAAAACTGGAAATAGAACTGCCATATGACCCAGCAATCCCACTCCTGGGCATACACACCGAGGAAACCAGATCTGAAAGAGACACATGCACCCCAGTGTTCATCGCAGCACTGTTTATAACAGCCAGGACATGACCTGTTTTTAATTTCTGAAAAACTTTTTCTTAACAGGTGGAGAAAGAACCTGTGGAGTGCATGAACTTATCTGTATTAGAAAAGGTGAGTCGGTGCTCTGCATGGATACTTAAATGCAAAGTGAACCCTCCATAGTGTAGGATGCATTTTAGTACAATGGTAGATAATTGGGACTTAGAAAGTATAAAATGTAATAAATATTAATATTACTTATTTGTATTGTGGACTTAACCTTTCATAAAGTGCAGACTGCTAATTATGTGGTTATTGAGAGTTGTTACTTTATATTTCATTTTCATGGGCTGGCAAAGCCCGCTTTCTTGCCTATTGGTTGTCAGACGTGGTGAAGAGGCGCAGAATGGAGGGTTTGATTTTTGTTCCCTTTCAGAATCTGGAGTCTGAGTGCATGCTGACCTCCCATTGACTTCTGTTCTATTACTGTGCCCCATCAGAGGGATGTGAGGAGTTGGTTGCGATTCCCATCGGGATCATGTCCAAAGACCACAACATCTTTTGGCACCAACAGCTGTCTGTGCTTCCTTATAAGGAGCCACCTGACAACCGGGTGGTTGAACGAGGTGGCCCCAGGAAAGGTAATTCAGTTATTAGGTGGGAGGCAAGGAGTCAGGTGTTCGGTAGATGGGAAAGAATCAGGAGAACCTTGGGAGTCCCCACCCTCAAAAGCGATCACATCTGTGAAAGGGTATGCCGAAAGGAGAAGGTATGCCTGGGGAGGAGAAATCATCATAAATGTACTGTTCTTTTCTCTTTTTAAATTTGGGGAACTGTCTTTTTCTTTCGTCTTTCTTGAAAACCGAGTTGGCCCTCCCGAGTCTGGCCAAGTAGCAGTGCTTCCCGCCTTCGTATTTCACCCTGAGGAGGCTTGAGGCCTCGTCAGTATTTGTGGCACGTGGGTATGACTGGCATACCAGGAAATGTCAGCGTACTGTCAGGGAGTCTTCTGCAGGTCTGAAAAGCCTCAGCTTCTTTCAAGTTGAATAAAAGGGTTGAAATCTCTTTTAGGTGAATTTGACATAATCACACTAGCTTAACTATGTGTCACTAGCTTTGATTGCTGTTCATTTAAAAATAGCCTCTTCCTTTATTAAGGTGTAATATATCTGTGTGTCTGGTACCATAAAGGAGAGAATTGAAGTCAGCTCCCTGAAACCTCAGATTTAGCATCGTGGTTTTCAGTGGTATAACCACTGTTGACTTGCCCCTCTTATCTAAAATGGGGGAGAGGGGGACAAATTAGCATTATTTGCTTCCTCTGTGTAGTCTTCACCCATAACATGTTAATCCAGATGTACTAAAAATATTTTAAATAGTTTTATACGTATTACCTTGTCCCACAAAAACTTTTTAAAACACAGAATTTATTTGAACAGCAAAAGACACTGTACAAGTCAATTGGAATCAAAAAGCCGTGGGCAGGTGAAGAGAGAATCAAGACCACAGTAGAGATAGCCAGAGGGTAGGAAAACAAAACGTATAAAGGGCTTCTTGTGGCTGCAGGGGGAACAGGCAGCTACAGTGGAGAAAATAGTGTTGGTAGTGTTAGATGTTGGTCTGGACTCACCTTTTTAATGTGGCCCTTCTTGCTGTTCTTTATTGCTACCTCCATTCCTGTCCCAGTGGTTCTTGGACTATGCCTTGCCCAGATTTCTCTAGATTAGTCCAGCATTTTCACTTCTTCTGATTTTCTGTAGAATTTGAAATCTGTGGTTAAAGTTAAAGTTTTTTTATTTCCGTGTGGCCATACCATGGAAAAGTTCCTGGATCTCTATCCCCTCAGCATTCAGTACTGGGTCCTCTTCTAGTGGGTGTTTTCTAAGCATGTGAATGTTTTTAAAATGAATGCTTAGAGCTGGAAGCTTTGCATTTTAAACTGGACTTTCATAGAGTAGAGCCTATGAAGGCTATGTCAGGACAAATAATTATAATTAGTGTCAATGGTCCTGGTGAGAAGACATCTCTAACACTGTGTTCAACTTGTTTTCACCTCTTTTGCTGTTCTTCTCTGTCTGCTAGCTTCTTTCCTCTGTCAAACCTCTAAATATTAGAATGTATTAGGCTTTGGTCTTGGGCTTGCTTCTTTTTCCACCTATTCTTTCTTTAGAATAGGTGGTTGGTTATACCAACCAAAACATATAATTTGGTTCTGGTGGTTTGTTTGTTTGTTTGACCATGCCATGTAGCTTGTGGGATCTTAGTTCCCTCACCGGAGATTGAATCCATGTCCTTGGCAGTAAAAGCATGGAGTCCTAACCACTGGACCACCAGGTAACTCCTGGTCCTTTTGTTTTCAGTGCCATGCAGATTTATAAATCTGGCTCTGAACTGCCCTTGAGCGCCCTCCTCTTATATCAAAGTGCTTACTTTATATTTCTATCTGCATGTCTGTTAGAATAAAAACGTGGTGTGTCTAAAATGCAGATCTTGGTTTTCTCACATGAATCTGTAGCTTCCTCAGTCTTCTCCATCTCAGCTGGTGAATAGGACAGTCTACTCACATGGCCAAGTCCCAGCTTAGGAATCATACATATTTCTCTCATTCTTTTATCTTCTGCATTGATTTTTCAACCTCTGACAATTCTGCCTTCAGAATACGTTTTTAATTCTGTCCTCTATTCCTCCATCCTGCTGTTACCATTGTGGCCTGGGTCCTTATCTTCTCTTGCCTACACTACTGTAACGGTTTCCTAACAGGTCCCATCATTTCCACTCTTAATGTCCCTACAGTACACATCAGTGATCTCTTAGGTGTGACTTAGGTCATATCACTTTGCTGGTTGGAATTCTTCTCTGGATTCCCTCTATACCTAAAATAAAATCAAAGTCCTTACCCTGATCTACAGAGCCTTACATTATAACATTAACTCAGACGTCTTACCATGTAAATCATCAAAGGGAAAGTGAAAGTCGCTCAGTCATGTCTGACTCTTTGCTACCCCATGGACTGTACAGTCCATGGAATTCTCCAGGCTGGGATACTGGAGTGGGTAGCCGTTCCCTTCTCCAGGGGATCTTCCCAACCCAGGGATCAAACCCAGGTCTCCCGCAGTGTGGGTGGATTCTTGACCAGCTGAGCCATGAGGGAACCCCATAAATCATCAAAATATCATCTAAATATTTTCAACTTAGAAGTCCCATCATCTAAATCATTTATATCAGGTATGGGTGAAACTCCTGATACCATCTGTCCTGGTTCAGAACTCCTCTCCATCTGTAGACGTGTGAAACTAGCAAATATATTACCTGCTCTTCAAACACAGTGATGGAACAGGGTAACAGTTACAGACATTTCCGTTCCAAAAGTAGGAAAGTGGAAGGAACAGAGGAGTCGCTGATGCGAAGCAATTTTGAAACTCGATTGGGAAAAATATTTTAGATTTCAAGACCTGGAAATAACACTCTGTGGCTCTTGGCCCTGACGTCTGAGGCTCCACTCCCAGGTTTAAGACTCTGTCCTTGGAGTCATCCTTCCTTTTTCCAGAAGGGTCGTGTATATTTGCACCTGAGTATTTTCATCAGACTGTTTGCCACCTGTAGAATGTTAGTCTGTCACTCTTCTTTCATTTTGTCCTCTTGTCCCTTTCAGTCTAACGTGGTGGTGTTTCTGCTGGCATAGTAGTCTCAGGAAAGATCCTCGCGAGTCTTCCCTGTATATCGGGGCGGGGCTCATTCTTTAGACAGGACGCCCCTCCACAGTCTTTTCCGGATGGTTCTATCTCTGTTTCTGGCTTCTGCTGGAGTGGCTGAGGAGATCTTTGAGTCACATGTCTGATTTCTTCAGAGAGCGCTCAGAGTCACTGACCATTGTGACCCTTTGTTCTGTTTGAGGCACCGGCAAAAGGTGGTCTAGTCCCACCTTGGCTTTGTCTCAGAGCATGGTTTCTTGACACCGAACCCCTGATTTTGGCATAATTTACAGCCTAGATAGGCTGCGGGATTTTCCAAATCATCGGGTACTGGTTTCTTTTTGCTTAAAGATTCTTCCCTCACTTTGTCTCATTCCTCTCAAATTTAACCATAAGCATCATGAAGACACCAAGCTGCTACCTTTAGCACTTTGCTTGAAAATCTCATAAGCTGAATGTCCAGGTTCTGTTTTCTGTGTAATTGTTGTTGTTGTTCTGTCATGTTGCTGCTAAGTCATGGCTGACTCCTTGTGACCCCGTGGACTGCAGCACACCAGGCTTCCCTGTTCTTCACCATCTCCTGGAGTTTGCTCAAAGTCATGTCCATTGAGTCAGTGATGCCATCCAGCCATCTCATCCTCTGTCGTCTCCTTCTCCTCCTGCCCTCAGTCTTTTTCAGCATCAGGGTCTTTTCCATTGAGTCCACTCTTCATATCAAGTAACCAAAGTATCGGAGCTTCAGCTTTAGCATCAGTCCTTCCAGTGACTATTTGGGATTGATTTCCTTTAGAATTGACTGGTTTGATTTCCTTGCTGTCCAAAGGACTCTTAGGAGTCTTCTCCAGGACCGCATTTCAAAAATCATCATTTTTTCAGTGTTCAGCCTTCTTTATAGTCCAACTCTCACATCCATACATGACTACTGGAAAAACCATAGCTTTGACTATATGGACCTTTGTTAGCAAAGTGATGTCTCTGCTTTTTAATATGCTGTCTAAGTTTGTCATAGCTTTTCTTCCAAGGAGCAAGCATTTTTTAATTTCATGGCTGAAGTCACCGTCCATGGTGATTTTGGAGCCCAGGAAAATAAAGCCTGTAACTGTTTTCATTTTTTCCCTCATCTATTTGCCGTGAAGTGATGGGACTGGATGCTATGATCTTAGTTTTTCGAATGTTGAGTTTTAAGCCAGCTTTTAAAAGATCACTTTATAAAAATCCACTACTTTCCTATAAGGGCTTCCCTGGTGGCTCAGATGGTAAGGAATCTGCCCATAATGCAGGAGACCAGCTTTGATCCATGGGTCAGGAAGATCCCCTGGAAAAGGGAATGGCAACCCACTCCAGTTTTCTTGCCTGGAGAATCCCATGGAGAGAGTGGCCTGGAGGGCTACAGTCCGTGAGGTTGCAAAGAGTCACACGACTGAGTGACTAACACTATCATATTCCTGTATAATAGGCAACAAATTATTAGGAAATGCAATAAAATAAGATCTCTTTTAGAGTGTTATGAAATCTGTAAAGACACAGGAACAAAATGAACAAAAGTTGTTAATGACTTTTATACAGAAAGTTAAAAAGATTTATATATAGACATAAAAGAAGATATGTAAATGAAGAGATAAATAATTTTATGGGTAGAAATATGCAGTATGTTTAAATTCGCAGGGTGCCCCAAATTGATCTATGAATTCAATGCAGCCCTAATCTAAATCCCATCAGGAATTTTCAGAGAGCGGACAAGTTAATTCTTAAGTGTATATGGCAGTTCAAACAGCCAAGAAGAACTAAGTTCGCTTTCAAGTAGAGGAACATGGGTGTGTGTTAATAAGATATCCATTGGTTGCTTTCTCAGAGACCAAGTGACTAAACAAGGAAAGTTTACTTCTCTCTTATGTGAAAGTCCAAGCTCATAGGCAGGAGTTCATTTGTCTTGCTTTGATGACCTTCCC